GTTTTAAAATAATAAATTAATTATATAAGATTAAGTTTAATTATGATAAATAAAATATTTTTTATTCAATTTTACTTTTTTTCAATAATATTCAAATACATAATATAAAGGAATATTTGATGACAGAAATTCTGCATTTTTAAATTTTATTATAAGATTTCTATAATAAATATAGAAACAGATCAGAAACTATAATAAACAATTCTATAATTACGCGCGCATATAATTTTATAATGTATATATTTTATGTAATACGCAATAATTTTATGTAATGAATATAGAATAACATTCTTCTGAATCAATTTTTATATAATAAACTCATCATTCATAAAATTATCGAAATAAATAATATTTATTTACATGTTTTATTAGATTTGTTTATTAGACATTTTATTATTTTATTATTATTTATTTTTATCTAATTTTCTTAAAATTTTAAGATATTCTATGTGTATTATATATTATTTGCAAATTTTATAATTATTTTTAAAAAGAAAAATTTAGAATTTTTACGCAAAAAATTGAGAAACTTAATTAAATTTCAAATTAATTAAAAAGAAAAAAATAATTATTATTTTATTGAAAAATTTCAAGTGAATCATATTGAATAAATTATATTGAAAAACACTTAACAAATGAATGTAGTTTCAAAGAAAATATGTATATATTTTTAGAACATTATAATCGATGAAAAGAGGAATTCACCGATATATAATGATGATTTTAAATTAATCTTAAATTTCAGAATTGAAAAAAATATTGTAATTTATTAAATTGAATTTTTTTTATCAGTTATAACATTAAATATTGTTCTTGAAAAAATTTGTAATCATCATTGATATTCTTTTAAAAAATTTTTCTATCATCTAACATCTAACATCATTATCTTAGTATTTTTTATTTTTTTTTTGATATATTCTTTAATTTTTTTTAGAACGAAAGCATTATTCAAGCTGCATACGATATACTTTAGTACAATTTAAATCCGCGAGACAATCGAATTGTATTGCTGATTTTAATACAAGCTCAAAGACAATTGACACTTTCAGCTGGAAATTTTATGACGCTTTCTGCTGAAACCTTTACTAGTGTAAGATTATTATAAAAATATTATGATTACAACACATTCACGATTATAAGAACATATTTATAATGTTACATATCTAATAATTATTAAAAATTAAGAAAAATCTAATCATTATTAAAAACTTTTTATATTATTTAATTTATAATATAATTAATTTTTTTAGATGCAAAAAGTTTCAGTTTCATATATTTCAATATTAATAGCGATGTATTAAAAAAAATAATTGTGCTAAAAAAAGATTATTTTTCTTTCTTAAAGTAAAACAAAACAATTATCGATAATAAATTTTCTTCTTTTTATTTTCTCTTTTTAAAAATTATTTGTATAATAATATTCAAGTAATTTCATCTGATCGATAATCACATTGAAAAAAATTTAAATACAGTGGGTACTCAAATGTACAACTATGTTAAAGAGATTATATTGCTATCTGTATGATTTTATTTCATCTTTGATTATTGTAATTTTATTTAAGAAAAATTTTAATATTTTTTTTATTTAGATTTGATATTCATAATTAAAATCATAAAAATTAATTTAATTTAATATAATATAATTTAATATAACAAAAAAAATTCTTTGATTTCAACTCCTAAGAAATTACACTATTCAAGAAATTTTAATTTTTTTTTAATTTTGTAGTTTTTAAGGGCATTCCTTTCTTTTTTAAATTTTAATATGCTGAATAGAATTTGCAAATTATTTTCTCTAGAACCATCAATTTAAAAAAAAATCATTTAAAAAATTGCAATTTTTCAACTTTGAAATTATTTTACACTTTCAAAATAATCTTTATACAAAATGATTATATATTATATAAAACAAAATGTAAAATAATTATTAAATTCTAAACATAATTAAATATATTTAAATAATAATCAAAATTAAAAAAATATTCAAAATCTTATTTTCAAAAATTTTTACTGATATTCTAAGATTATATTACTAATATTCTAGATATTTAAGAAAGCAAAAGTCAAAAGAAAATCTAATCGCAGTATAATAAAATAAATCTTTTTGCTAAGGAAAATATTTAGAGAAACTATAATCATTTTTATTTTTATTTTCAATAAAGAAATAAAATAATTTGCTAAAACATGTGGCAGCAATAATGATACTCAATTTTAATCGCTTGTTTGTTGTTCACATTGGAATCGTGAAGCATCATTAAATACCAATTGTATATACATATGTACAATTTAGTTAACATCCAATCTTTCTATATCATAATGTTACATTATTTATTTTAAATGATGAATAAATTTAATTTATAAATTCGATATCCAATGTTATTATACTAGCACTTTGTATTAATCAGTATTTTCTATTAATAATTCGTTAACAAAATTATAACGAAAATTGTTGTAATGGAAATTTTTGCTTAAAATTATTTTTAGAATCTCCAATTAATCGATATTCCTACATTTCTGAGATATTCTATGTACAAAATATTAATATATATTTATAGATAGAAATTTAAATTTGCCTTATTAAATGAGAACAAAATTCGACAGCGCTGTAATAAAGACAAGGCGATTTTACTTTATTAGTTTTTCTTTTCTTTAACGCAAACTTCAATTGCTTATAACTTAATAAATATACTTTAACCGATATTTTCATTTATCAATAATTCTATTTCTTTCGATCTCTAGAATCAATCTTTGAATTTTTGTATTTTTCATATTTATTTTCATATTTATTGATCATAAAAATTTAATATAAAGTTAGCAATAAAAATATATACATATATATATATCGTGCAATATTAAAATCATTTAATATAATGAAAACTCTTATTGAATGAAAATGGAAAAATTAATGGAAAAAACAATAAAAAAAAAAATATTGAAAAAGATATTGTTATATTGTGTAAAACACTATGTAGATTGTGATAATATAATGATATTAATAATAAATGAAATAATTTCAGTGTGATAAAAATGATAATAATAAAAAAAATATCATATATGTAAATCTCACACAACCTGAAACATTTTTTATCGTCGTATTCAAGATATTTGTTGAAAAAGAGTTTGAATAATTTGCAACAATAAGAATGTAATCCTATTTAATATTTAAAAATTATATATTTTAATTTTTTAGTTAAAAAATATAAGATTCTTAAATATTAGTATAACCAAAAATTAATTTTACTTCTATTTAAATAAAATATATTTAATATAAGAAGATATTACGAAATTATATTAGTACAATTGAAAGGAAATGAATCTATTTGAAAAAAAAATCAAAAGTATATATTCTTTTGTATTCTGTTTTATTTTCGAATAAATCGATTGAGACTATAGAGAGAATATATACACTTGGCTATATTATACATTATTTTTTGAATATATTTGTATTTATATATATAAATTTATCATCATCATTTATCATTATTTCTTATTATTCCTTCAAATTTTTAATTAATAATATTAAGGCATTATTCTTTTTTTCAGAATGGTGACACAGTGAGAATGTATCGATATATATATCTTATTTAAATTACTGATATCCAGATAGAATAATAATTCAAAAAATTAAATGGAAAAATATCATTTTATCTTTTTGATTTATTTTTTAATAAAGATTTATCTTTTTTCGGCTTATACTACCAATTATAACATTTTGTAAAAAAAAGTAATTCTATTATTCAAAAATTTTCTTATTTAATTGTTTTATTTTCTTATTAATATTGATATAAAGAACTAATATTTCTATATTTATTTATATATTTTATTTATATTATTATATATTTATATTATATATATTATTATATATTAATAAATATATATTATAATATATATTAATAAATAAATATATATATTAATTGATCTATAAAATCATTTCTAATAATTAACTATAATTAACTAAAACTAACTCTAGTATATAGATATGTATATATGTAATTATTTATGTTTACCTCAATTTACATTTGCTATTCTAGAATAAAAAATTAATAATAATGCAACAAAACACGATTTGATTTTGAACTTGAATATATATTTTAATATAATACAGCACAGTATATAATATACAATTAATTAATGCAGTCAAACTTATTATATGTATGTACAATGTTGTATCCATTTACATATCTAACCATCTGCTGCAATGTATATCTTTTAGAAAGAAAGTCAGAAAAGGGGAAAGATGTGAAATTTGTATTGAATGTATTGAAGATCCACAAACATATTTTTTAAATGTGTTACGTTTATGAGTAATATTGCGTGATACTTTCCCTTTGCACCTGTTCAATATCACAAATTATACCAATATATAATGCAATCAATAATTATTATCTTTCACTCAGGTATTATCTTTAATTGTAGCACAAAACTTATTTCCTAGATTATTCTTTTCTGAAATGTTATACTGACTATGATTTATTAAATTCTTTGTGCATACAAAATAATTTTATTTACGGGCAATATCTGCAATGATTTAGTTGTTTTCGAAATAATATAATAGTACTTTAGCATCCAATCTATCTACACATATGGATTTATTCTAATTTAATTCTTTTTCATTCATAAAACATAATTCGTTTCTTGAAATTATGTTGAAAAAAGTGACACCAGAGAAAGTCATTTACATTATTCGACTCAGCGTAGCTATATGTTGTTGTTGGCCACGTCCTTTCAATAGTACCAAAAATCAAATTTTCGGTTTTAAAGTTTTACAAATCAGTACCATAATTAGCGCCTTCATGGTGTTCCTGCCTTTGTTATATTCGATTTATTTACATAATGACAATATCATCCATGTATTCAAATGCATCTGTTTGTCAGTAGGTATTACTCAATTTATTGTCCAAACTCTTATATGTTTCATCAAACACAACTCATTACAAGTAAGTACTTAACTTCTCTCAATATTTGAATGAGAAATATATATGATGTATATATAATAAATAAAAAAAGAATTGAATATATTTAAATGAAATAATTTTACTTTAGTTTATTTAAAAAAATATAGAATTATATTTGTATTTAAAATCTTTTTCTCTAGAATAATGTTAGATTGTTAAAAGAAAATTTATAAATTTAATCATAGACTAATATATTTGTAAGATATAACAACATCTTTTGAAGGATTGATTCTAAAAGTCAGATACATATAGAAATATAAAAATGACAATTAAAATTTATTCATTAAATTATGAACAATTGAAATTTGCATTAAATTAAGCGAAATAAAAAGAAATTAAGACTGCTTCGTTAGATTATAATTATATTTTGTTTCTGCCTTTTTAATGAATTTGATTTACTTATAATTTACGAATTTTAATTATTTATAATTTAATAAATATATTAATTTTATTTGACATTTTAATTGATATTTTTGTTTTTTATAATCAATTTTTATATTTATTTTAGCAATTTAATATATTAATATGCTACATTAGAATTTTTTTATTTATTTATATTGCTTTTCTTATCATACTTTTCCATATTCTGTAACTATATTTTTTCAAAAAATAAATAACAAATAAATCTTTCTTGAATTTTTTTTTAATTTTTTGTATATTTTCTTGAATTTAAAATATTCAGTCCTTTTTTATCTACATCATACTTATAAAGATATGAATTATTGTATTTTCATCATATTTATTATATTATTAATATTTCTAATTCATTTCATTGCATATCTTATATGCTTGAGTTATATTTTGAAATTCTGCGCTTTTTGTATTATTCATATTTTTAAAAATAATTTAAATCAATAATTAAATACAATAGTATTAAAAGCAATAATAATATTAATATTTGATGCTGTGTATTAAAATATTTATTTTAATGTAATTATTAATTAAATAATAAATTTATTTCATGAAATATTAAATAAATCATTTAATTACAAATTTTCTATAGAACAATTTACTTTCTATAATATAATAAAATATTCATAAAATATTTGTATTATTTCAAAAATAAACTATTTCTTATATAATTTTAAAATAATATATAATATATAATTTGAAAATTATATATTAAATTTCTTTAAATATCTGGTGTTTGATCATATCTATTTTGTACGAATAACAATAGAGTTACAAAATTTTGAAATTTAACAATTTGTCAATAATATTCAAATAAGATAATTAATAACATAATTAATAAAAATAATGTCGTGAAGATTTTACTTAAAAGTCGTTGAAATTATTCTCATTAAAAAATTATTAACAAAAACTTTTTTCGAAAAAATTTAGGTATTACATCAAATTAATATTACATCAATTCCATATAATTTAGATAATTAATTAGTAAGAATAAATTAGAGTAAATTAATTAATGTCATACAAAAATTTATTTAATTTCTAGTTTCATGTTTATATAAGTTTTGGATTAGATTAAATTAGATCACTATTTAATAAATAATGATTTCAATTTAATGTAATATAAATATTTTTATTAATGATTTTTTATTAAATAACGATCGTCAAGTAAAAAAATTTTCATTTCAGTATTCAATATAATAATTTTGATAATATATTAAAAAATTATCAAGATCGAAGGATGACATCTTTTTATAAATATTTATTTTAAATATTTCTAATTTCTAATTTGTAATTATCGATCAAAGGTTTTTTTATAAATAATTATATAAGCTCGCTGAAATTATATCAATTTAAAATAAGTTTAAAGTTTAAACGATTAAATTAATTCAATTAAATTATTTTAATTAAATGAAAATACATTCGTATCATGATATCATCATTCTTGTAAAATTTATTTATTATTTATTTATAGATTATAGAAATTATAGAAATTATTTATAGATAATTATTTATATATATATAAATTTTTCTTTTACCTGGATTTCAAGAATTCGATTTGAGAACTCAATCTAAATTTCTTGATTCAAAAATCAAATTCCTAAAAATTAAAAAATGATTTATAGATTGTATGTATTTATAAGTACATATCTACTTGTTTTTATTTTTACTACTTACAGCGTGTGGTAGAAGAAATGGTGAATTGTGTTAAACAAGCGCAACAAATCGAAATAGAAATCTTCTATAAGTATATCGAGAAATGCAAGATATTTTATGGAAGTTCCATAGCATTTTCATATTTGACTGCCACTGCTTTTATGCTAGGACCTACAATACTACCAATTTCTTTTCCTTTAGAAGCAGAATATCCTTTTCGCGTCAATGAATCGTTAATAACTATCATTATATATATGCATCAATCTTTTGTTAGCTATCAATGCTCTGCGAATGTATGCGTGAGCATATTTACTTTGGTTTACAGTCGCAAGATTTGAATGTTTGATCGTGGAATTTCAAAAATGTTCAAATGTTGATATGATGATTGCTTGCATTAAAAAACAATTACAATTAAAAAGGTAAATATAATATTAAAATAAATTATAATGTATCGCCTGAATAGTAATGAATTTTCATCTGTATCTTCAGAATGAAATAAGATATAACTTTACAACACTCTATTTAGAACTATATTTCTCTTTTATAAATATGCCAAGTATAGATAAGTTTCTATAATTAAGCGTCTTATAGATAAGAATAGTATGCGATGTCGATAACAATACTTTTGATGCAAATTTGAAATTTGACATAACATAAGTTTGAAAATTTTCGCATCCATCTTATAGCTTACATTTGATCTCTTTAGGTTTTCATTTCTTTTCAAAATTGAATAGAACATGCAAAAATATTCATTTTTAATGAATATATTCTGAATATATATATAAATGATACAAGAATGATTTCTTTTATCAAAAGTAAACTGATAAGATGATGAAATAATCTGATAAGAATGAAAAAATTTGTCACATTTGTTGTTGGAAAAAATTTATTGAAATTAATGTAATTACATTGAAAAATAAATATAATATTTTATAACTAAGAATCGTACTTTTATTTTTCTTTTGTTTCATTTCGATAATTTTTGAAATACAAATGAAAGCGTTCATTACTTTTCAACCGATTGTTTTATTTATATTCATTTAATTCTCATGTTTATTGTAGATACGCGGAAGAAGTAATCAATTGTTTTCGTTATATAGTGCTTTATGGTATAGTAGTAACAACATTTGCTTTGATTCTTTGCGGTATAATATTACTTATGGTAAGTATTGATAATATTTTATGTATCATATTATACAAATTGAAGATGGAAATTCTAAACAGAATGTACCACTAATTGTAAAAATGCAGTTCATAATTATATGTATCACTATAATGATGGAAGTTTATATGTATGCATGGCCAGCTGACTATGTGAAGAATATGGTAAATTACATTACATTTTTATTGTTTATATATATACAACTTATATATATATCTTTAATTAATTATTTTTTTCCATAATTTATAGAGTATAAACATATCAAGAAGTGTGTATGAATTATCATGGTATGAAGAGACAATAGAAATGCAAAAGAACTTTTTGAATATATTGGTGTATCAAAAACCAGTAACGTTTTCTATCAGTTATATAGTACCAGAACTTTCTTTACGTTACTATTGTTCGGTAAGACAAGTTAGCTTTCAAATATCTTTTGTTCTATAAATATAAATTAAAAATAAAATAACAAATAATAAATTTATAAAATTTTAGTATCTCTCCAATGCTTTCTCTATTTTCACTACATTGCGTGTTCTATTAGAAGATACTTCAGCATAAATGTATTCTAAATTTAATTAAACTAATTATATAATAAATTCTATAATTATATAACTATAAACATTTTTGTATTAATGAAAATAATAAAGGATCAGCAATCTTAGTATGAATATTTTATTTAAATTGCTAAATTATAAACGAAATAATAAATTATTTTAAAAAAGACAATCGTTTAAAATATTAAAATAGTAATGTTAAAACTTTATGTGATTTTAAACTAATTTTTTTTTTTGCAAATATTTTAAAAACTAAAAGAATCTGTCTATTGCATGCATTGCATACAAATTATTTAAAATAATGATTTGACAATATATTTCAATATATTTCAAGATCAGAAATTAATATTTTATTTTGTAAATTATATTTTTTATTTCTTTTTTGTTTCTACATTTTACAACTAATATGCCATTTTATATACATATTTCTTTTTTATCTTTTCATTTTTCATTTTTAATATTCCCTTGCATAATCAAAAAAAAGAAAAAATAAAAGAATTTTATTATTTAATTTTATATATTTATAAATTTGAAATCTTTTTCAATTTTATCTTTAGAATATGTTCTTTTGAATATTTTTTTCTTCGATCTGTTTTAAATGACTGAATTAATGACTTTTTATTCAATTTTCAAGTTTTGGCCAATTTATAAGTTTGATGAAGAACAATTATTTAAAAAGTATGTATCCATGATCAAATATTTATTTATGTGTAAGCATTATAACATTTTGAAATTGCAATTAGTCGGAATTACGAAGAAAATAATAAAAGTTTTATTTTTTACAACTTTTTTTATTTGAACTTATAATAAAAATTAAAAAGATATTTTGTAGATTTATATAAATTATGTTCATTATATTAATATCATCGAAATCGACTAATTATTATAATCTATTAAAAATGATAAAAATCGTTTTTCAGGATTTTTATAATTAATTTTAAAAATTTTTAAACTTTTTGATGTCTATCATTTATTTCTGCATCAATTTTAACCAATTTTAACAAAATTTTCAGGATGTATATAATATAAATCTACAAAATGTTTCATATTTTTATTATTTAGATAAAAATATTATAAAAAATGATCTTTACTATTTTTTTTGTGATTGATTATAAGTAGTAATTGAGATATTTCAGATGATGAGAAAGAAAAAATGGAAATATAAATGCTAGAGAATGTAATAGAGCGAGCTGTGTGAAATCAAAACTTTTTCAAAAATTTTTTTATATGTCATGTAAATTAATTCTTCTAATTTTTCAAAAAAAATTCAAATCGTTTTATTTTATAAAAATTATTTTTTTCTAATTAGTAGAATATTTTTGTAAATTTAATATTATTTATATATATTATATAATATTGTTTATATGTATTATATGTAATATTTTTGCATATGATTGCATCAATTACATTATTATAATATATCTTAATTATCTCATATAAATATATTGAAATATATAGTTGATATGTATTTAATGTGCATTTAATATAATATTTCTCATGAAAATTTATATATTATCTTTATTTTTTATAACACTAAAACCAGGAAAAGTATAATCGTTTTATCGTTCACATTCATATAATCATCGAAATAAGTTGAAATAAAAAGTTGAAGCGAACTTAAAATAATAAAGTTGATTTAATAAAATATATTTACAGTAATATAATTATTAATTTTAATTATTATTAAATAATAATTATATGTATTGCGACAATTAGTATACGTAAATTAGTCAATAAGTAAATTATACCTTCTTTCTAATTTCTATTTTAAAAAATATCTTTATCAATAATTATAATTCATATATTATAAAAGCAATATTGTGTGAATATATATATCAGATTTCAGTTAATTCTATACTACAGTAAATATGACATAGTGTCGTATGATGATCTCGTACGTCGTAACAAATGTGTTCAAGTTCGAAATTTGAATTGTTTGTGAAAATTATCCAATTTTTGTGGGAAACAAATTATTTTCAACAAGCTATTTATAAATTCGTATAAATATAAAATATTCAATTGTTAACTTGTCATTAAATAGCGAAAAACAAATGGTAAAATTATGAATATCGTATAATCTTAAAATGATATAGAAAAACGACATGAATTTTTATAAATATAATTCATAAATTGATTTCTTATTATGATAATGAAATGACTTGCAGATGCTGGAAGGATTGAAAAGTTATAATCGAATATAAATTTATGTTAATAATAAAAAATATTTTTTTTATTTACTTATATTTTTTTTACATAAAAGAAGGCTATAACTTATTTATTAATTAAACTATGTATAAATTTTTATTTTTTCTTCTTATAATTTTATTAAATTATAGATTAAAATAAAAGAAACAAGTGATAACCAGCCAGTTTAATATTAAATTGTTTCTCATTGATGAAAAACTGAAAAAAAGAAAGATTACTGTGATATCCCCAGGAATATCATTGCAAATATAGAAGAATTTAGAATGACATTATATCAAAAAATTTATTATATATCATATTAAATGTTACACATAAACATATATACAACATACATGCAAATACATATATTAAATAAAAAAATATATAAAAACAAATATTATAACACTACTTATTTTTCATGTGATGACAATGTGATCATTTCAAAACGAATACAATATGAGTTTAGAATTGATAACCTATTAGATAAATTACATTCTTTTCTCATAAAACATAAGAGCATAATAGAGAATATATTAGTTTATATTTCATAAATATATTACATCTATAAAACATTCTCTTAATATATTAATATTTATAAGAATCTATATAATATATTAAAGTCGAAAGGTGAATGACTTCAGATATTGCACAAATAGATATTGCCTAAACTGATGCTACTGTTCGAAGGATCATCTACTATAGGACTATATTTATTTATATTATGAGTTTTGAATGAATAAATTGTGGTGGTATTTTAACTCTTTGCAGCTAACTGTAATGATTCTAACCTTTTTAATGTAAACTGTCTCTGAATTCTATCTGTATAATTTTCTATTCTAACTCAACTGCAAGACTGTCGCAAGTTTTGGTTTTTCCTCCAATCCTTGCTTTTCGTGAAAAATGCACACTAAGAGGAAGTTAGAGGACCAATCATTGCGTTAGAGGGCAGTTTCAAAAGATGAGCTTTCGCATAGTCATATCGTAATTATGGTAATCAAAACTTTTGCTTTCATGGTGGTCCATCGCATGATATGCAAATGTAGTTTGTGAAATGGCCGTTACTATGGTATCTTTATTTAAATTAAAGATCTGGAAAGCGTTAGAAAAACCATACCCGCTCATAAATTATTGTTAAGTTATTGGAGGTAATCGAGCTATTAAAAATAAAAGATTACCGATCATAATCTGGAATCAAAGAATTTAAGTCTCCGTTTGGATCGGATGACAAAGAAGTGATAGATGACAAAAAAGTTTAGACTCTATTTGTATTAGCAGAATGTATAGTTCTTCGAATGCCAATTTTTGTTCACCAATGACACGCCGCAAAGTGTGACCTTAACCACATTCTCTCATCAAAATGTAGTACGTGTGGAGATTTCAAGCTCCATTCTATAATTTATTTTCCTAATGCACCTTTGTATTATATTTCTTGCTCTTCAAAAGTATGCCTAATTCGTGGAGTTCATTTCATGCTTCTATGAAATTTGTTTCGTTATCTGAAAATATTGTCTTGAACAATCCTCTGCGAATTATGAATCTATACAAACAATTCAAAAAGGCTCAATGAAGAGATCCATGGCTAATTCTAGATGTATGGCTTTCGTGACGAAACATACGAAAATGGATATAAATAGGATTTCACTATAATCTTACTATGGATTCTCTCACGTATTGGAAATGGACTTGCGTAGTCATGATCGTAGGTAGAAAACGGCTGGGCCAGCATTATTCGATCCAAATGACCTATTATGCATTTTAAAGATCTTGACCTTGCCTTAAAACACTTTATGCATTTTCGCATAATTTTCCTTACTGAGAATTTTCAGGCTATAAGCCAATATGACTCTCGCAATGATATTATTGTTTGTTGGCATCCCTGCATGTAATATGCATCTAATATATTTATTCCTTATTATGATTTCTATAAATCAGTGCTTAGAGGGTAATACTACAGAATGTTTTTTCCGAAAGTGTATGGGTACATTTCACAATTTGTCACCTATTCTTATAATTTCATCCTCGTCTAAAAATACATATAATGGAAGTAATTTGCTGGATTTTGGTAGCTGCTTCCATGTTTTTAGGCACAATAATTATGAATAAGCTGAAAAAGCTTCCTCATGAGTAAGGCATTCTAAGCTCTTACGAGCTTACATTAACTCGACAATAATCAAATTTCCAAGTTCTCGCTGATTTTTTGAATGTCTATTGAATTGTCTTTATTCGCGAATTTTTAATAAATCTAATGAAGTAAACTGTAGTGCGAAATAGACGCATATAATTATAATATCTCTGCAATAAATCATTTTCCTGTTTACAACTTGTCAAAACAATTTTTATCATTCTTTTCTCTGGTATTGATTGTCGATTTATTCGCTAAAACAAGCCACTCAGTATTTGCTGCTAATCAAGTAAACCCTGACCATCACAGGGGATTGGTTTATAGAGATTTATGACTCACATCGCGAGATATAAAATCAGTCGGATTATCGCGTGATGTTATGTGTCATGTCCGATGATCGCATGCGCATTATATTTCTGCAACCCTATTAACTACGAATGTTTTCCATCTGCTGGATGAATCATTTATCCACGATGAAAGCAAATGAGTGCAGCTTTCATATCAATTGACATTTTTTTTAACATCAATTAAATAATAGTATATCACAAAGTTCTAATCGTGGAAAAGAAATTGATTTAAGAAGAACCATTTTATATTTCATGCAAAATAATTCTCATTTACCTGCTCCTATCCTATTAGCGAGCGCAGGTAAACGCATGCTCCGTAAGCTTTCTTAGAAGCGCCGGAGAAACCATGCAATTCTGTATTTTGTATCCTTTACTAATGCGCGATATTTCAATTGTTAATTGTTCTAAATCTCGGAATAATATCCAA